GGTTGTTGGATCAGTTTCCAGTCAGGGCACATGCCTGGGCTGCAGGTTTGGTCCAAGGGCAGGACGTGTAAAAGAGACAATGGACTTTCTCTCGCATTGATGTTTTTTTTTCCTTTTTCCTTCCCTTTGCTCCTCTCTCTAAAAAATAGAAAAGCACCATTGCTAATGGTTGGTTGTGTGTATATGTGCATATGTGTGAGAGTGTATATATCCATGTGTTGTGTGTGTGATAGCCTGTTTATGTTAGTGTCACTGTGTACATGTATATACACACATAGGAATGTGTTATGTGTATATAGGTGTGTGAGTGTAGATTTTGTGTGTGCGTGTGTATAAGATATGACCTAAGCCTTAGGTCATATGACACCAAGATATGACACCAAGCCTTAGGACAAGGTGGGTTGTGGAGAACTAAATACTTCTCAGTCCCACAGCACAAAAATACAGCCTGAGGTGGGGCTGGGTGGGGGTTATATTACAGTCAGTAGTGAACACTGCAGCCATGCCAATAGAAGCAACATTTCTCTTTTTCTGAGAGATTAGACCCAGTGGTCTCTGAGAATATGATTGCTTCTCACTGTGCAGTGAGTGTCCCTGATGGGCCAAAGTCCAGCTCCAAGCTCCCCTGGGTATCTGGGCCTTGCTAAGCCTGAGGACTCTGCATTCTGCATAGCACAGCGGGGAACCTGGGTGCTGAGGAGGAAGTCCTGGCTAAGGAGGTTGCCTGTCTAAGAGCATCGGTAGAGGAACTCCTGTGTGGGGCTGTGAACCGAGGGCAGGAAGAGGAGGGTCAGAAAGCACTGCAGGCCTGGAAAGGCTGCCACCCAACTGGCAAAGGAAAGTGGAGGCTGCTGGACCCTCCAACGCTGCTCCTTCTACACTGAGACAGTCTGTAACTACCCGAATCACAGTAAATAACACTCAGGTGATAACACCTGTTGCAATGCTGGGTGGGGGGGGGCGTTCCCCAGAATTCAGCCGTGTAAAATACAGGGTGAAGTTATGAGGACATACCTGGGCAGTCAGGGCGGCCCAGGCAGCCAACAGCAGCCGCGGTGAAGCTGGCTCAGATCCACGCTGGGCATGTTCCTGGGTCGAGAGGGGGGTTAACATTTCCAACACTCTGGGCTGCCTGGGCCTTGGGTGGGCGGGGTGGGCGGGGTGGTCAGGAGGGACGGAGAGTCCAGCTCCTCATGGGAGTTTCTGTGGGATCGCCTATGACAGTGGGAGCCCCAGGGTCACCCCAAAGCCTATGTGTACGAGAGACAATAAGATCCTACTTCCCGTTTGCTCCCTCAACTATCAAAACATCCTGTGAGGGGTGAGAAAGAGGAACACATACCTTTACAGAGATCATTTACCCTCCATGTGATCCAACAGATGGTACATTCTTGTCTCCAAAAACTGTATAACAATATGGGCAGAAAGTCTGTCACCCCAGTTTCGCGGGGCAGTCCTGGTCATAACCTGGTGACTTTGGTCAGATGAGGTGACTTGTAGGGCGGCCACATAAGTCCTCCACATCTCCTTCAACATGAGCGCTGTCTGCTTAACTTCGTAGCTGGCAGGGACAGCATGGAACTGGGGAGCCAAAGCATAGCAGGGCTGGGGGCAGGGGAGGGGAGTGACCCTGCGGTGGCATGGGACTGTGAGGCCCTGCCACAGGGCTGAGCTGAGGATAAATGGGGCCGGGCACATACGTTGCGCACAGGGCCCGGCACCAGGATGTTCTCAGGACATAGAATGTCTCGGGACTTCTGCAGGCTTGGTCCGCAGGCTGAACCTTGGCCTCACCTACATTTACCAACTGGCTGAGCAGAGTGGAAAGATGTTGATACTAATGGCACAAAATCACAACATGACTTCCCCCTATCCTTCATGGGGGAGGGAAAAAGTTTCAATTCTTAAATTCTAAATTCCAGGTGTGGTTTAAAACATGTTGTAAAACAACTTCGATGGTATTTACTCCTCTCCTAGTAATTTTACAACCCTGAAACTAATATGAGATTTGCAGATATAAGACATTGAGTTAAGATCATTATGAGACCATTGTCTTAGAGAAGCAACATATCTGGAGAGGCAACTGCCTTAAGTGAAATCAAAAGATTTCTCACCTGCGCCTCCATTCCAGTTGGTTGCTCTCCTTTTTTATGAGATTACAAGGTGTCTATACCTAAAAGTAGTGTGACACTGTCCACCTGCTGTTACTTCTGAATGAGGACTTTAAACACTTTTCAGTCTAGCAGGAAATCAATGGCACTCTCAGGTTAGGAAAATTCATGGAGGGCTTAATGAAGAAACAGTTGAGAGAAGTGTGGTTGGGTGGCAGGAAACCACAGGGAGAGGGCAGCTTCCTGGAGCTGTTATGGGAACTGGAGGGAGAAAGCCTGATAGAGGAGGCTTCCTTGTGAGGAGCCAGAGCCTTCAGTTAGTTGAAAGACACAGCTTACTCAAGGCGGCCCATGGCCGGTTTATCGTGAAGACTAAATGGAATAAGTATATGTGTAAACTGTCAAGGGTCATTCCAGCATCTGGTTTTGCAATATGATCTGCTCAGATGCAGCCAAAAGGCATAAGGGTTTGGGATTTGAGGAGCAAGGTGTAGAGTGGAAAAAGCTATGGATTGGACTAAGCACGTGGACTAGCACCTGCTGTGGTGTAATGGGACAGAGCCCAGGCTGGGGCACACTCTGTGGGCAGCCAGCTTGGGCTGTGCCTCTTCTTGTCCTCGGGGGAGGGGGTGTGGTGGACAGAGCAGCATGGTGGCTAGACAAGGGACTCAAGAGCCTTGGATCAAATTTATCATTGTGTCTCTTCCTTTCTGCTTCTTTTGACCTTTAAATTTTTTCCTCATCTCTAAAGACTCCTCCCTATTCAGAGGAAAGTGTTCTGACAAAAATAACCCACAGTGAGACACAGGGGGTGGGTGACTCAACACTTGACCTCCTCTGCAAATATCTGCCTTTTAAAAGAGGCCCAGGGATGCCCTAGCTGGTGGCTCAGTTGACCAGAGCATCACCCCCCTACACCAATAGGTCGCAGGTTCGATCCCCTATCAGGGGCACATACCTAGGCTGTGAGTTTGGTCCCCACTTGGGCTATGTACAGGAAGTGACCAATCAGTGTTTCTCTCTCTCTCTCCCTCCTCTCTCTGCCTCCCTCTCCCTTCCTCTCTCTCTAAAAGCATACCCTCAGGTGAGCATTAAAAAAAAAAGGCACAGACTTCCACCAAGATGGAGGTGTAGGTGGAAGCACTGTGCCTTCTCACACAACCAAGTTTAAAAACAACAAAGTTTTAGCAACAAAAGCACAGCCAAACCACAGAAAATTGAACTATATGGAAGTCTGACAACAATGAACCCTTCAGCCAAACTGGTAGGAGGGGCAGAGCCAGCAGCAGAGCGGGGTCGGGCAGGAAAGATCCACCAGACCGACCCAGGCACGCGACCCAGGCGCACCAGCAGCCACGGGCGGATCCCAGGTGTGGAGTAGCGGGCAGACCCACGGAGGGCTGATCATGGTCATACATTCTCGTGCAGATAAACCAGTGAAGGAGTGAGCAGTGAGACAGACCATGCAAGCCCCAGTGGCAGGAAGCGGCAGAGGGGACCACTATTGTCCCTCTCTGACTCTGCCCCCACATACAGCATCACAAACCAGTGACCTGGGTGGCCTCTCTCTAACCCGCCCCCACATACAGCATCACAAACCAGCAACCTGGGTGGCCCCACCCTGGTGAACAACTAAGGCTCTGCTCCTCATACCTAAAAGGCACGAACAGATCAAAACATGGCTGAAGAACAACTCAGAGCCCCAGAGCCCATAAATCTAAGCAATGAAGAAATAGCCAAACGCTCAGATGCACAGTTCAAAACACTGGCGATCAGGATGCTCACAGAACTGGTTAATTTTAGCCATAAATCAGAGGAACATATGAAGGCTAAACTAATTGAAATGAAGGGAAATGCATAGGAAACCAATAGTAATGGAAACTGGGACTCAAATCAAAGGAGTAGACCAGAAAGAGGAAAAAAATGACCAAACAGAAAAGGATGAAGAAACAAGAATTCAAAAAAATGAGGAGAGGCTTAGGAACCTCCAGGATATCTTTAAACGTTCAACATCTGAATTATAGGGGTATCAGAAGGGGAAGAGGAATAGCCATGATGGAAACTTATTTGAACAAATAATAAAGGAGAATTTCCCCAATCTGGCAAAGGAAATAGACTTCCAGGAAATCCAAGAAGCTCAGAGAGTCCCAAAGAAGTTGGACCCAAGAAGGAACACACCGAGGCACATCATCATTATATTAGCCAAGATTAAAATGAAGGAGAGAATCCTAGAAGCAGCAAGAGCTAAGGGGACAGTCACCTACAAAGGAGTTCCCATCAGACTGTCCGCACATTTCTCAAAAGAGACCTTACAGGCAAGAAGGGGCTGGAAAGAAGTATTCCAAGTCATGAAATCCAAAGACCTACATCTAAGACTGCTCTATACAGAAAAGCTTTCATTTAGAATGGAAGGACAGATAAAGTGCTTCTCAGATAAGATCAAATTCTAGTTCATCATCACCAAGCCCTTATTATACGAAATGTTAAAGGGACTTACCTAAGAAAAAGAAGATAAAAAAGATGAACAATGAAAGGACAGCAAACTCACAGTTATTAACAACCACACCTAAAACAAAAGCAAACTAAGAGGACAGCTAGATCAGGAGTGAATCATAGAAATTAAGATGACATGGAGGGTTAGCAACAGGGGAGTGGGAGGAAGAGAAGGTACAGAAAATAAGCAGCATAGACGGTAGGTAGAAAATAGATACGGGGAGGACAAGAATAGTATGGGAAATATAGAATCTAAAGAACTTGAGACACATGGTCATAAACTAAAGGGGGGAATGGTGGGGGAGGGGTGTGCAGGGTGGAGGGGAATGAAGGGGGGAAATAAAACAATTATAATGGCAAAATCAATAAAATATATATTTTCAAAAAGGCCCAGGAAGGCAGTGCCTATGGTGGCTCTCTAGGAGTTTAGGGAGGTGCTGGGCTCCTGCCTGTGAGTTATTTTAGGTCATCTTCTTCTGCACCAAGTTTCCTCCTCTCAGGCTCGGTTGATTCGCTGTGTCCTGTAGTGGGGGTGGGAAAGAAACCTCATGAAAGAATGAAGCAACTTTGCCAGAGGAAGCACAAGAAGAAGAAAAGGTGAGGAGGGGAGAGGAAAGGCAGATACAGCTGTTTCACTGTCTGCCCATAACTGGCTAGTGAGGAGGACTCAGCAATGAAAAAGCCAACTGGTCTGGCCAGCCACCAGGGAGTGGTCAGGAGGGCTGAGGGCTGAGGAGGACGACACTGGGTTTGGCATGCATTCATTCGTTAGTGTGCAGCTGTGCACCTGGGCAGGTGGGAGTAAGAGATTTCCATCGTTCTCAGAATGAGTACCTAATCAGGTTTTTGTTTGAAAGAGACAAATCTTTAATTGAGAAATCATGAACCATTATATTCCAGGTCTGAAACAAACTGGCCCTGTTAGCTGCTTCAGATAATGGAGAACTGCAGTGGCTGGTTTCACCACTCCCAGTGGCCAGTCCTCCTGCATACCTTGCATGGTTTTGAGAGGGCGAGTCACTTCTGAACTTGTGACTGTGGTGCCCTTTGGGGGTGGGGTGGATCTAAGGCGTGAACCTTGGAAGCTTTAAAAATAGAAAGCAATGAGGAATAAAACAGTGTTTTGATGCTTTTTAGTTGTGCTTTACAGAAGAAAGTCCAAGACAGATAAGCAAGTGTTCATTCCCACAGCTTTTGTTATTATCAATAACCACAGCCCTAGTGGTCTAATATCTAAACTCCTTCCTGGGTTTTGGGTCCCCTTGCCTCTACAGAAGCTGAAAACGCCAAACCTGCCTCCTCTGTGACTCTTTTGTAGCTTCGGCCTGAGCACAGGCCATAGACTCCACCCACCCAAAGGCCCCGCCCAGGCTTTGATGCAGTGGAGTGTTGCAGGCAGGAGGCTGGCAGAGAAGGTAGGTGTGTGTTGCCAAGCAGCGAGGTGGCTTGCCCACAGTGGCCCAAGCACTGCCATGCCCTTGGGTCCTTTTGGATCAGGATTGTTCCGCCAGCTCAACCTTGCTGCCTGGAACAAAATAACACCACTCTGGAGCCAAGAACACTTCTCTCAAATTTCTCTTACTCATTTCCCATGCCCTCTTCCTGAGTCTCTAGCTGGTCAGAATCCTTGCTCCAATCAATCTCTGCACTTGAAGCAGTGTGTCTACCACACACATGTACACACCTAGTGGTGAGTGTCCACCCACAGCTCTGCCTGGCACAGGGAGACGCCAGAAAGCATGTGACCAATGGAGCACTTCTCACGAAAATCACAAAGTGAGCCAAGATATTTACAGGTGAAAGTGGTCTAAGAGGTGAGCACTGCTCCTGTAGTGAGGACTTCATGGTCCAGAGTAATTGGTGCTTCACTAACGGTTTCACTTGGGTGTCCTTTCTGCCATGTTCCACTGCCTCTCTGCTTGCTGGGGCATTTATTTGCAAACACAGTTATTCATGATGTAGTTCAATAAAAATTTTCTCGATCTTTTAGAATATCTGGAACTTTCATTTGCTGCTGGTGGGAAGATTAATTGACACAATCACTTACAAAAACTTTGGCAATATGAAGTAAGCCATATGATCCAGCAAATTCATTTTTGGTATTACCTAACAAATGTGTGCCTATCTGCACCAAAAGATATGTACAATTTTCAATGAAGCTAAAGCCAACAGAGCCAAAAAACCATGGAAGCAACCTATATGTCCAGCAAAAGAATGGATACACTATGAAACACTGTCACAATGAAAAAGTCTATGGCAATAAGAAGGAAGCAATACTACAGGACACAAAGCTGAATCTCACCAAAAAAGAGAAACACATGAAAAAATAGTGTATGTGACTGCATTTTAAAAACTTCAGGATGAATCTCTAGTGTTAGAAGCCAAGACTATGGTAAATTTTGGAGAGCAGAAGGGTTTGGCAATGGGTTTAAAAATGGGCTTTTAAGGCACAGATAATGTTCTGTTTCCTTTTTTAAAAAAGGAATTTGTTTATTTTTAGAGAGAGAGGAAGGGAGGGAGAGAGGGAAGGATAGGAACACTGATGTAATAAATATTGATCAGAATCTTTTCCGTATGATTTTAAAATTTGAAAAAGTCCCTTCTTAAAATTGTTTTTCAAGTTGTCCGCCACGCAGTGATTCGTAAGCTTTTGGGAGATTTTGAGTCCTTCCAGAACGTGGTGGAGCCACACAGGCTCTCCCGGAAGAGTGCACAGATTCACAGATGTACAGAGGGTTGCCTAAAATTCAAAGTCTGTGAACTGAAGGCAAAGATCAGAAAAGAAACTGGCCCCTGATGAGGCTTTGCAAGGGCTTTTATTTCCATTCTGAGTCAGATGGGAAGCCATAGAAGGCTTTTAAAAAATTTATGAATATTGAGGTGACATTGGTTAAAAAATTATATAGGTTTCATGTGTACAGTTCTATATAATATATCATCTGCATATTGTACCGTGTGTTCACCCTCAAAGTCAAGTCCCCTCTCATCACCATTTATCCCCACCTTACCCTCTTACCTCCCCCAAAGCCCTTTCCCTCTGGTAATCACCATGCTGCCAGGGGAACCTATGTACCTATGAGGTTGATTTTCTTTTTTTCTGCTCAATCCCTTCACCTTTCACCCAGCGTTTCCAACCCCCTTCCCTCTAACAGCTGTCAGTCTGTTTGATTAACTCATTATCAAGATAAAGAAACAAAAGCCAAAAAATTACAAGACAAAAAAATGTCCTTAATCATCCAACTAAATCTCCCAAAGTCCAAACACATGACTTGGTCCTTAGATGCCCAACCTGTCCCCACGAGGGCTTCACTCACAGGCATCTGTGATGATTTTAGATGTAGTTCTCATACCTTTGGGGACCTGTCACTTTTGTCTACAGCATATTAAAAACAGAAAATCTGCCAAGCACATATATGGATATGCTGGGAGAGATATCTAGAGCCAACTCTTTAATGACAAAAATAAAAGTCAGAAGGCAAGAACTCATTTAGGTTAGGAAAAGTGCCTTAGACACTAGCTATAACTCATGAGAAACTCCCTGTGTTAGAGCAGGGTACAAACGTTCAGATGTTCAATTCACACTGACGATTCCCAGCACTTACTCAAAGTGCAGGTCCTAGCTGTAGGTAGGTGGAGAACCAAACAGGTCATTTCAGAAAGAGCTCCGTAAGAGGGTCTCAGTGGCAGAAGTGAGCACAAGCTAAGGCAAGAGGCCAGAAGCCACACTGCACACAGATCTGAGGACTGGGCTCAGAGGAGCTCTGGCAGGAGCTGAGCCAGGCTGGGGTGAGGCCCAGCCCCCCAGGAGCCCTAAGAGAAGTGGGATGAAAGCCAGGCACTGGCCTTGGCCAGAACCCATTCAACATTCCAGTGCCCCAGTGAGAGTTAAAAAGGACAGATAAAGAGATCAGTCATGGGGCATCATAAGTTGCTTGAGACTTTATGGAATAAATAACTTTCTAAAAATTTCCTGAGCACAATCACATATCCCGTTTTCTGCCTTCTCAAACAATGGAAGGGAGAAGCCTCATCACTAAGCTGGGCTTCCTTAGACAAAGCAGTGGTTGGGGCCTCTCCTGTGTCCTCCCAAGGAAAGAAGATGGCTGACTGATGGGGTTCAGAAGCTGTAATCCCCCATGGCTAAGGCTGAGTAAAGAGACCTTGGGACTATAAGCCATAGGGTGACAAAGCTTATCTCCTGCAAAGATGCCACCTCTCCCCCTTTTCCTTCACCCTGCTTGGTCCCAGGTGGATGACTGGTTAGCTAATAACAAGATTCCACAGGGAAGGGGGACATAAGACAGGCATGGTCACGAAGGGGACCTCAGGGAAGGACTTGGAGGACTACAGAAAAAGGGGGTGATGGATCCTCACCCCTCGGCTTTGACAGAGCCTGAGTCCTCATTCTGGCTGCAAGTCTCCTATCTCTTGGCTGCCTTACTTCCTTGGTCTGATTTAAACCTGAAACAATGCCAGAGGGTGGTGCGGCCCTGGGCAGGAATGGGCGGTTCCCTAGGGCAATCAGGCCTAAGAAAGGATGCATAAAATCCTGTGAAACCTGCTTTGCTAATACCCTCAATTTAAAAGATAAGGGTCAAAGCATAAGATGAGTTTGTTTCCTCAAAGTTTTGTGTCTCTTTAGCTATCTGACCTTGACTCAGAATAAACCCTCACAGTTCTTTGAATGTTATCTATTGTTTGATCATTACTGCCTGACGATGATTGATGAGCTTTACCTGTATTCCTGGGCAAATTGAACCCAATGAGAGCCCACTGAGGAAAAGGCTCTTGGCCTTCCTCCTTTGAAAGACTGGCCACCTTTCCTTTCCGAGCAGATCACGTCTTGGTAGACTTATTCTCATCCGAGGTGGATGGGCAGGCTCTGTGGGTGGAGTCCCTCCACAGCTGACACTACCCCTGTGCTCAGAACAGGTCACTCTCCCTCTCCCGGCCACGCCCTCTTCTGGCCCTGCTCCTGTCCCCAGGGCTGGGCCACACTCTGGGAGCTCGACAGGCCGGCTCACCTGTCTCTGGTCAGTAGCAGCAACGTCTTGTGAGGACCTGGAGTGAAGGGCATCCTGGAAAAGGCCTCGGCTTCTCAGAGACTTTTAAGGATTTCTTTGTGAGCTTAGAAAATAAAGCCTCCATATCACCTCTACCTTATGCCACAACCAACTGACCCCAAAGCTTTTAGACTGACTTTCTCCAGTACTGTCTCAAAGGACAAGTACAGCTGATGGAAACCAAATGTGCCAACTGAACAGAAACAAACACAATCAACAACATAGCAGCCGAGTTAGGAGCCACGACACCGAGGAGGAAAAATTGAAGCAGGCTGATACTTTGAGAGGCAGGTGTTGTCACAGCTTGGGGATTAGCAAATTTGAGGTTTGGGGAGAGTAAAATAGGGAGGGAATCTCAGAGAAGAGAGAATTATAGTGATTACAATAGTTTTCTTTATGGTATGCACAGTGAATAAGTGGTAAAATAATAATTCATTTTAAGTAATGGGTGGGACTTCTGGTAAAAGAGGGAAGAACAGTGCTAGGAGGGGGACTCGCCAAGGATAATAAGGATGAGGAAAACACCATCCTGGGAGCAAAATCCTGGCTCTTGGAATGAAAGGTAAGTACCCCATTATTTGGGAAGACCTTTGTCAACATTTTTGGGACATATTTATAATGTTAATTTAGTGTTTACATAACAGGCATGGGTTTGAGAAGGCATTCTGGTAGGTGAAGAGGTCCTTCAAACTAGTTTCTCTTGTTCAGAGTTTGCAAAGCAATAGTGACTGTGGAGGTCAAAATTCAGGGAGAAGATTGCACGAACCTGGGGCCACGAGGTGTGGCTGCACAAGAGGCACACTGCCCGACTCGAGGGGCTGCGGGCTCACCGTGGCTGATGTAAACGCTGCTTCCTGGACTGAGCTGGACCCAACCCGCCCGAGTGTGCACAGGCAGCCGCGGCAGGCCCTCAGCACTGCCAATAAGTTTTCCCTAAGTTCCTTCGTGGCCTTCTCTCATGATACTATCAAACACTGGCTTTTCCAAACTTACCTATGGCCCTTCCCAAGCCTCTGCCCCGCTTCCTCCACCTACCTTTACTGAGAAAACCTGGGCTCACATAAACTTCTTGCCACCTCATCCAAAAATGGGTCTCCATCTGGATACCCCTTTCCCTGCCCCACCCCAGCTACATGGGAAGCAGAATCTCAGTGCCCCTCCCTCATGCTCTTCATTGGATGCCTTCCCAGGACTCGGCCCCAGTGACAGATAGGTCCCCAGCCTGCACAAAAGGGCCCTCTTCTGGGCATGCCCTTCAGCTCCAAGCAAGGGGTCTGTGGATACCACGACACACACCAGCCTGGGGCCCAACTTCCCCCTTCTAGACCGTGCTCTGGGTCCTGGGTACTCCAGAATCTGCAGGAAAGGCCCTGCTTCGAGAGCCCCGTGGGCCTTGTCTCTGGGTCTGATGTGTACACTCCTGGGCCCAATGTGTGGTAAAGAGGGCCAGGTAGTCGGATTAAGTCGGATGATTGAGCTGGGGTTTCCACACATGTATGTATGAACCTGTCACTTTACAATGTCCAGTGGAGCAAGAGGCGAAAGGGAAGGGGCCAGGCGCAGGAGTGTCTCTCCCATGCTGCCAGGACTGCTGCAGAACTCCGGGGTTCTGAGAATTCAGAATCTGGCTCCAGACTTCTGCATTATAAAGGTATGTTTGCCAAGAGAGAAAGGTAGGAGGTATTTTAGTTTACAGTTTATTAGCTTGATTTGTACATTTAAATATGAAGATACATGGTGTATAGAGCTCCATTGGTATTTTTGCCCTGGCCCCTGCAAATGTTAGGGTCAGGCCTATTTTAATCACTCACTCTCTCCTGACTGTTTCCACACAGCTGACAGGTGAACAACAAGCAAACAACTATGTGAACAAAGGCCTCTCCAGACCCCACTGGCCCAAGCTCTCTCCTTCCAGACAAGGATCGTTTAAGTAATGAGGCACTAAGCCACCATCAGTGAGTGCCTGAAATGCCCCCAAAACAGTGACAAAGAAGAACCTGTCTCTGTCCAAGTGAGCCTACTACCCACAGGTACTTACCACGTGATATAGGAAGGTCCGTGAGGGAAGAGACAGTGGGTTCGTCATTGCGGTGTGTTTGTTTTAGGCTGCACATCTTCATAGTTCAAAATACGCACCCCCTGCTGCCTCTGGCAGTGGCCGTGATTGGAGAACTTTGCAGGTCCTGACTGCAGCTTCTAGGTTTCTTCCTATCATTCACAAGTCTTATATCAACTGGAGCAGCCACTGTTGACACAGTGAGCCATCACTATCATACTTTAGAGAAGCCATCAAGAGAAGATGGGCAGCGTTTCTTCCATCCAGTAGCAGCAGCATCTCAGATATGCAGTGCTTCCTGAGATTTTTGAGAGACAATAAAATAGGCACTTTAGGTCTCAAATGATATGGGGTAGCTTAACAACCCCATTACTCATTCTTAATCATTAAATCTAAACTGGGATCAAGACTGGCTGAGGCTGCTTAATTGGCAGACACCAGTGAGGGCAACCAGCAGCTTTTTCCAAAGGAAGTGTGGTACTGGTGAGGGACACAAGAGCAGCAGGTAGCAGCGAGGAGGCCAGAGAAGAAGGAACACACTACTGCAGAGACATGGCCAAGTTCTCAAGAATAACTGGGAGGGGACTTAGAGAAGGCTTAGGCCCCACCTCAACACGTAAGCCAGCACAGTATGGGTCATCAGTGTTAATTTATCATTATCGTTAGATATGGAAACATGTGAGTTACACATGCAGCCCCTACTTGTGCCCACACCATGCAGTGGCTGGTGCTGCCAAGGTGGATGTGGAACAGGTTTTGTCCAAGCCCAAAGCCTCTGCTCCCTGGAGTCAATGTCCTGCATTTCTCTCCCCTTGCTGTTGCCCATTGGCCCTCTGCCAGTCAGCCCTCAATGACTTTGGCAACTGCTCACAAAGCATTTGTGGTCCCTGAGAAGACAAATCTAATGTCTTTCTTCCCCTGCTATACTGGGGGCTCCCTGAGAACAGGAACTATTCTGTTTTGTTTGTCCTCCTCTCTGTCCTCAGGGCTTGCCATGTAATAGGCCATCAGTAGGTACTGGATGACTGAGACTGATGGGAACTTGGAACGACAGGTTTTAACAAAACCAGAGGGATAGGAAAGCTAAAAAAAACAGCATGTCAGCCAAGGTAGGAAGGGTGCATGGAAGTAAATGAGACCAGAGGTGGGTGGTGTTGGGAGAAAAGCAACTTTCATGAGAAGCAGTCTGTGTCAAGGCCCTGAGAGAAGCATCACGGCTGATTGGCAGAACCGACAAAAGTGAAAACTGGAGGGCCAAGAGCTGACGAGAGGCAAGTTTAGAGAGATAGACCCCTGAAAGCCGTTGAAACCATGTTATGGACATTGGCCTTCATTCGAGGGACCATGGGAAGCCACTGAAGGGTTTCAAGAAGAAGGCATGATCTGCATATGCATATTTGTGTCGTTAAAGAGTTCATCTGAGATTGCACATGATGACTGGTTTGCAGGGACCAAAGGGAGCAACATGGAGACAAATAAGGTGATGTGAGAGTCCAAGAGAGAGATGGTAGTGGCTGGAATCGGGTCAGGGCAGGGAGGTGAAAGAAGGGGAGGAGTCGAGGATGACTCCCTGGTTTTGGTTTGAATAAACTGGTAGATGGTAGTGACATTTACTGAGGCAGGAAACACTGATGGAGGAACATGTTTTAGAAGAGCAGAGGGGATGGAGAATTCTGTTTTTGCCATGCTGTGCGAAATGCCTATAAACATCTGAGCTTGTACCTGGGTGGGGAATTTTCCATCTTCTGAGAAAGACCCAGTGAAGAGAAGCAACCTGAAGGTGGTCTGCATTTAAAATGGTACCTGAAGCCCCAGAACTGATGAAATGACTGGAAAGAGTATGGACTGGAAAGGGCAGAAGCCCTTTTACCAAGCACCGAAGAACTGTCAACTTGCAAGGACTGAACAGAAAGAGACTGGTTCCAAATCGGGCTGATCATTAGAATCACCTGGGAAACTTTAAGAACATGTTATGTGCTGGAGGAATGTGACTACCTAATCTATACCTTTAAAAACCTGTAGTAGGATTATAAATCATTTGGTAGAAGAAGACTGTCACAGAGAGGGTGAATGGTTAGGAAAAATAAAAATAAAAGGAGAGTGGTGTTCCAAATCCCATTGGAAGGATTTCAGGAAGAAAGGGATCAGACAGGATCAGGGTTGAATTTAGCAACAGGATGCCAGATGATGTTTTATTCCTCAAAAGTAGGGAACTGGTGTTTGAACTCAATAATCATTTACTAGGGGATTACAGGAAGGTGCCCAGCAGAGCACCCCGTGTTACTCAATACCCTCCCAAGCACTCACAGGGTGGTAATAGGGAAGAAGGAGAGGAAGGAGGGTACATCAGATGGCAGAAGTAGCATCTAAACTGGGGCAAAGAAGATAAGCAATCTTAGGAGAGGAAATAATAGAAACAGAAGTATGTTGAGCTAAGAGATAATGCTGCCATTATCCTTCCCATAATGGCAGCAGCACTGGGGGATATGGTACCAGTAAGAAGAAAAAAAGTCTCCACCTCTAGCTTTGCACAGGTACTCTGTGGTTCAGCTACCCTGCGTGTGCACATTGGCCAGTGAGAATAATGCATACTCTCAGAAACAGTTAGTTCCTGGCTGGAGCAGAGGAAATTAAGTTTTGGAATGAAGCAAGAGAAGGGGCAGAGTCCAGTAATCAAGGACCTTATATGCCAAGGTAAAAGGACCTGAAGAATGCAAATGGTGTAATTAGATTTGTGATTTAGATAGTCCATTTTGGCAGACAGTGGGAATGGCCCGAGGTCCAGGAGGATTAGGAAAAGATGGGGTTCCAGACTTCCATCAGGAGGCTCTTACAAGGATCCAGAGAGGAGATAGATCCCCCAGGGGAGGAATGCTGAAGGAGGGGAGTGAGCTGAGAATGTGGCTGACTGGAATGGGAGAATCAAAGGGTGGGCCCAGGAAGCCACCAGGGTCAACACCTAGATTCTGGTTTAAGGGATTGGCTGGGTGGTGCAGCCTCTGGGGTAAGAAATAAGAAAGCCGAGATTTAGGTGAGGATGGGGGTGAAGACTAGGCATGGTAGAGACCACTGTAACAACATTGATAGGTTATTCTTTTCTACAAAGGAGAAAAGATATCAGTAACATTATTGCTAGTTTCCCTCACTAATTTCTCTTTCTCACCTCTAAATTATTCTGTAGCCTACTTCTTTAAAATATCCAGATTCATATAATGCTACTTAGAACATAGTAGCTTCAACTGATTACTGCAAGGGGTTCATTGTTTTATTATTTCATTAGAAACGTTTATACGTACCAATAACTTGCAAGGTACTGTGACCTGGGAGAGATAAATAATACATAACTGGCTTAGAGTTTACTCATATTGCTCCCTCATGGAGCTTATATTCTAGAAGCTAAAGACATTGACCAACCAACTATAAACCACGCAGTTTGTCATAGTTTCTTAAGAAACATAGAGTAGTATGTGGTAACTAACGAGGGGGAGGGTGCGTTTCACCAAATTTCATAAACTCCCCGAAACTCTTTGAAATATTTTGTCTATACCTGCATACATTTGGTGGGGGTAGAAAAGGAAGCTTAAATGCTCAAACAAGTCTGTGACCCCTAAAAGCTCAAGAACCACTCCAACCAGTCCATTTGGGCTCTACTGACATACAAGCTTCCCTGTGAGAAGGCAGGGACAACAGGTAAAGCTAGCAGTTGTCTAATCCACTGAGAATGACCCTACCTTTATTCTTACGGATCAGAAGTGATCCATCTTCTGACTTCAGGTGAGAAAAGGCATGGTTATTTTCTAAAACCCGGCATTAAAAAAAAAAAAAAGGAAATGTTTTATTCCTCGATCGCTAGGGATTTCCAAGCACGTGCCCAGGTTGGGAATGCAAGAGTTTACAGGACGCACCCAACCCCGCGAGCACCTTCCTGCCCATACGGAAGCCACTACGCCGAGCTCCGTCTTTTAGATTCAACCGAGAGAAGTCAGCGAAGGCTTTGTGAGTCCAGGCCGGGTTTTCGAGCATTAAGACGGAAGTAACCGCGAGCCGGAAGTCCCAGGGCCTTCACTGGGAAAGCAGTGGGGGGTTGGGGGAGGAGGCAGGCTCAGGGTAGGAATGGCGGCTCAAATTCCAATTGTGGCCACCACTGCCAGTCCGGGAGTAGCCCGGAACAGTAAGAAGAGGCCAGCCAGTCCTTCCCACAATGGCAGCAGCACTGGGGGATATGGTACCAGTAAGAAGAAAAAAGTCTCCGCCTCTAGCTTTGCACAGGTACTCTGTGTTTCGGCTACCCTGCGCGTGCGCATTGGCCGGGCGGGGGCGGGGCGAGAACGCAGTGTGGCTGCGTGGGGGGCGGAGTGAGGGCGCGTTGGCTGGGCAGAGCGAGTCAGGGAGCATGCGCCGGTCTTTGGGGGTCTTTATCTGTTTTGTGGGTTAGTCCCTGACACAGAGGAAACATTTTTTCCTTTAGTTTGGACATGTGGGAATTCGATAAAGAGCCTGTCGCCTTGCACTGCCCTTGAGGAGAAGTGGGGAAGTTGTTGCTGCGTTAGTGTAAGGTCCGACTCTCCTTCAAGGTGGCATTTAGAGCGAGGCTCAGGACTTTCTGTGAGCTTCTGTCAAGCAGACGTTATAAAGTTTCACCTTCGTGCACTCGACACATTTACCGAGTGGCTGTGAGGTGCAGAGCGCCCCAAAGTCCTACATGGAGGAACACTAAGATGTATTGATGCGGGTGGTTTCCCTCATCCCCGGAAAAGCGCCTGTTCGATCCTCCGTTGTCCCGCCCCTGAGTGTGTTTGGACTTTCCTGCGGGGTCGTTGCTTCCAGGAATCAGTGAGCTCGGGGTCGGAAAGCGCCGAGCACACTGCCTCTGGACGAAATGCCCGCCGGGGGCTTTCAGCAGAGGAGTGGCTTGGTTAGCTGAGTGTTCGTCTTGGCTTCTGCATTTTATTTAAAGCAATAAGAAAGCAGAGACGGAGCGTGTTACTTTGTCCCTTCCGGCACCTGGTGTGGCATTGTTCACCCAGAATGATGCTCTCGAGACCTTAACTAACCGCCTGTTTCTTCCCTCGGTAATTAACACCGCTCCCCCTTTTAAAAATGCTTTGTTAAGGTATTGTTTTTCATACAGTGAATTTCACACACTTGAGTACAGATCAATGACTTTTTACATTTGGCCACCACCCGTATCAAGATAGCATTATTTATTAAGAGCCCCAGAAATGAACCTGGTGACTCTTTCCAGGCATTGCTGGCTCCCTATTCTGACATTTCTCACTACAGATTGCGTTTTTGAACAGAATGTAAATGGAACCAAACAGAACATATTCTTTTGTGCCTCTTGGGGTTTCTCTGTGAAACACTGTTTTTTAAAGTCATTCATTCATTCATGTTACTACACGTATCACTGTATCTGGTACATTCTGTCAATATACCACAACTGATGGACATTTGAGTCGTTGACCATTTTTAAACTCCTCGGAACATTCCCTGACAAGTCTGTGTAGGTACGGGCTTTCATTTCTCTTAGGTAAATGGGTACAAGTGGAATCGCCGGATCATGAAGTAGACCTGTACTTAACACAGCTTGACATTTTAAAAGTTTCCCAAAGTGGTTGCACTGTTGTGTGGTCTCACCAGCACAGTGTGAGAGTTCCAGTGGCTCTGCATCCTGAACATCACTTGGCATAGTCCACCTCTCATTTTAGCCATTCTGATTGCTATCTCATTTTTGTTTTATCTTTTGTTTCTTTGATTACTGATTACTAATGATAGCAGTTGCCTTTTCTTAGGCTTATTGACCTTTCCAGTATCTTTTATGAAGTGCCTGATTTTTTCTAATTGGGTTGTGTTGTGTTTTTTTTTAAAATTACTGATATTCAAGTGTTCATCCTGACCAGTTTGGCTCAGTTGGTTGGGCATCATCCTGCAAAGCAAAAGGTCACTGGTTCAGTTCCCAGTCAGGGCACACATCTGGGTTCAGTCCTGGGTCAGGGCGCATACAGGAGGCACCTGATTGATGTTTCTCTTCTCCATTCTATCCCTCTCTTCCCCTCTAAATAAAATCTTTAAAAAGTATTCAGTTCTTTACATACTCTTGATTGGAGTTTTTTGCCATATACATGCATTGCAAGTACTTTCTCCCTGTTTATGATGCACCCTGCTAAAGTGAAGGAAATCATGATAAATAAGAATTAATACTTATTGGGCATTTACTATATACCAGGCACTGTTCCCAGCCCTTTCTAAGTACCACCTCATTTAACCCTAAGAACAACCTTCTGTGACTTGTTAGTCTACAGGTAAAAAACTAGGGCATAGACAGGTTAAGTAACTTTCCAAAGGTCGCACTGCTACCAAGTGGTAGAGTCAGAATCGGAACCCAGGCAGACCATCCAGACTCCACATACTTTTTTCTTGCTGTCTCTCTTGATATCATTCATTACTCTCTACCTTAGAAAATATAATTAGATCTCTGGTATAACCCAGTCTGTGTACAGGGAAATCCTTCTGGGGGGAATTTTGTGAGATCAGCCTAGGGCATTCTAGACTTTCCAAATGCCTACTCAAGTTGATACAATCTACAGAGACATCTAATTGACCTACATACTGAATATCATGTAATGGACTGATTTGTGATGGTTAAGCAGTTAACAAAGCATCTAAATAAAATGAGAGGCAGCCATGCTTTAGAAGGTTAATGTAGAGTGCAGATGATGATGGACTCCTTTGTAATTGGAAGCAGGCAGAGAATGCTGGACTGTTTTGATTTATTCACCAAAAAAATCATTCTATCCTGACTTTTAAGAAAAATCATGATGATGTTAAATTTTAGAAGTTCCTTTTTTCTTTTTCTTTTTTAAAACTATTTTATATTTTAGAGAGGGGGAAGGGTGGGAGAGGGCTAGAAACAGTGATGTGAGAGAGAAGCATCCGATTGGTTACCTTCCAAAAGTGCCCCAGGGCACTGAACCTGCAACCTAGGCACGTGCCCTGACCAGGAATCCAGCTGGCAACCTTTCAGTTCTCGGGATAATGCCCAACCAAGTGAGCCACACCAGCTGGGGCTTTTTTCTATTTTTAAAATGGTCATACAAAGTCACCTAATTTTCATCCCCAGCAGCTATAATAATTTGTGTTTTCTATGTAGTTTTTCACCACTGTATTTGGCATGTAACATTGTGTATCCTGCTTTTTACTTAGCATAATTTCATGAACCTGTCTTTGTGTTGATAGACTGCTCTTATTTAATTGATGTTATTAAATATTTAGGTTGCATCTCACAGTTTTGCTGTTTTAAGTAAACCTACACTAACCTTGTAGTTTTAGACTAGGATCAGCTATGTGAATCTAGAATGCTAATAGATAGGTGTAAGTGGACATTTTATTTTTTTTTCAGTGATGAGACAAAAGACACTTGTTTCTTTTCTTGGCAACCACAGACAACAGACAGAATGCCCAAGTTATCCTTAAGTCCGAGTCAGCCGTGTAGTCATGCGGTCTGGAGAGATGAAGCCATTTATTTGGGCTCCACAGTTGGGTGCAGCTGATGTCTCACTGGCTTGTCTCGATCCAGGGCAGGCTTGCACCCATTTTTTGACAGCAGGCCAGCTTTCTTTTTCCCTAGGACTTACATCAGCTCCTTTAGTGCTAAGGTGTTACTTCTTTCCTCTTAGGGTATTCATTTCTCGGGGCAGGACAGCTCATCTCATAAAGTCTGTCAGTGTTACAGTGGCTTAGTAATGGGAAACTGTACATCATATTAAATTTTATTTTATTGCATCCTCGCCTCACAGACTTGATCCTCCCTTCATGAATGGTCATGAAGGGGCCCTCAGGGAAGTACTTGGGGGCTATAAGAAAAGGGAGTGGTGGACCCTCACCCCTCAGCTTTGACAGAGCCTGAGTCCTAATTCTGTCTGCAAGAAGTCTCCTAACCTCTTGGCTGCTTTATTTCCCCTGTCTGATTTAAGCCTGAAACAGTGTCAGAGGGCTTTGCCGTCCTGTTCTGGAAAGGGCGGGTTCCCTGGGTGATCAGGCCAAAGAAAGAATGCATAAAATCCTGTGAAACCTGCTTTGCTAATACCCTCAATTTAAAGGATATGGGTCCAAGCATGAAATGAGTTTGTTTCCCCAAAGTTTTATGGCCCTTTAGCTATCTGACCCTGACTCAAAATAAGCCCTCATAGTTCTTTGAATGTTACCTATTGTTTCCTCATTACTACCTGACAATGATTGATGAGCTTTACATATACACCCTGTATTCCTATGCAAATACACCCAGTAACAGCTCATTGAGGAACAGGCTCCTGGCCCTTCTCCTTCGAGATCAGCCACCTTCCCTCCCCATGCAGATCATGTCTTGGTAGACTTACTCTCAGCCATGGTGGTAGCGGGGGCGGGGGCAGGCGCTGTGGGAGGAGCCCCCCCACAACTAGGATTCAGGGAAGAGGCCTGAACAGGGAGGGGAAAATGGCGTCTTTCAGCAGTTCTGGGGAAGGAGATAGAGCTAACCAACGCCACTGCATGAAGATGGCAGCACTGTGAGCTGGGCGTGTTGTGTTCTATGGATGGTTCTGTACTCACTATGGGAGGCCTGGGGCCCGGTCTTCAGTTCCCTTTAGTATCTCCTCTTTGCTTTTGTAGTGGTTCATTTGCTTATTTCCACCCAGAAAGAAACATTATATAAGTAGTCATTTTCTTTATGAAAAACTCAGGAAAGTTGAAACTTAAAGTATATCTGGCCCCAGGAAGCCTCTTTTACATTCTGTCTGTTTTCCTGAGTTGTCTGTCCCTAGTTGTCATGGTTTTTCTACCCTGACGGGATGCTCGCTGCATAGTTCTTAGAGTTGTTTTTCTCTCTCTCACTTAATTGAGGCCACCCTGTAGGCACAGCCTGCTGGCAGCCATGTCCATCAGCCTTTCCTCGCCGTGCAGTCTCATGGTGCATTGTTAATGCATGAGGAGGTCCCTCAGGAGAATGGCCCTTTGCCTCCTATAACACTGGTGGGTGACCTGCTCCCCTCATGTGCCTTTCAGCCAGTGGGCCACGCTTCCCCCTTCTTTCCTGGACCACTACCTCTTGAAAGAGCAGGTGACTCGACTGTCAGCCTTTTTGACCTGCATGCCCGTTATGGCTTCCTCCTCAGGTTCTGCGGAGCCCCTGGCTCATTCACTGTTAGGTTGGCCTCTGAAAACAGGTAAGCGAATTGTTTTTCAAAGTGACTGTGCCCTTTTACATTTTCACAAGCAATGTATGAAGGTTCTAGTTTCTTCACATCCTAACACGTCATTGTTCTTTATTATTTTTTATTATAACCAACATAGTGGGTGTGAAATAATGTCTCTCATGGCTTTAATTTTTTTTTAATCCTCACCCGAGGACATTTTTTCATTGCTTTTAGAGAAAGAGAAGAATGGGGGAGGGGAGGGGAGATGGGGGGGAGAGACAGACATCGATGTGAGATGTGGTTGCCTCCTGTGTGCACCCTGACCAGGGATCAAACCTGCAGCCTAGGCATGTGCCCTGACTGGGGATTGAACCCGCAGTCTTTTGCTTTATGGGACAACACTCTAACCAACTGAGTGAGCCCCACTGGCCAGGACTCTGTTGTGGTTTTGATTTACGTTTTCCTAATTATATTTTGCTCAAAAGGTGTTGAGCATCTTTTTATGTGCTTCCTGGTCATTTGTATATCTTCTTTGAAGAAGGGTTTATTGAAATCTTGGCCCCTTTTAAAATGGAATTATTTGTCTTTTTTCATTGAGACTTAAGAGTTCTTTATAAATTCTGGATTATCATCATTTAATTTGTTGCTCAAATTGTCTAGATCCAGCTAGTGAGCACTCTTCAAACTGGCTCCTGTATCCTTTAACATAGCTCCCCCATGTTTTGAGTGCTGTTGTGCACTGAATTTTGTCCCCCAAAATTCATATGTGGAGGTCCTGACCCTCAGTACACCTCAGAATGTTACTGTGTTAAAGATGGAACCATTAAAGAGGTAATTAAGGCTCAGTGAAGTCATGAGGGTGGGTCTCGAATCCAATATGACCAATATCCTTAGAGGAAGAGGGAGAGACAGCAGGGAGGCACGTGCACAGAGGAAAAGTCACGTAGAACAGTGAGAGGATGGCCACCTACAAGTTAAGGACAGAGGCCTTAGGAGAAAGCAACCCTGCTGGCACCTTGAGCTTGGACTTCTAGTCTCCAGAACTGCGAGAAGGTACATTTCTGTTGTTCACACCACTTACTCTGCAGTTTTTTGTCACGGCAGCCTTGGCAAACTGGTATAATAGCTTTCTTTCATTCTTGCACCTCAGGGCTCATCTTGTACTTCCCTGAGCCAGCCCTGGAATCAGCCATTTCTTCAAGGATCACTAGTTCTTGAAAAATTATATTGAGAAATCAGGATATGAACAGTGGTGTGCCTGTTGTTCATTGTTTCCAGCCCTCTCAGATCTAAGTCAAAACCTGTGAGTGCATAAAACCTCTGATTTTAAGCCACCAGTGCAGTGCGCTAGCCGTCCCTCATTCCTTGTTTGTACCACCTTAGAATGCGTGTAAAGTAGTATATACTCCTGTGAGAAACAAACCTGGCAATTGTTTATGGTTCTTTTTGCCTGCGCCTTAGGTTATGTTGTCGGAATACCGTGTTCAAAGTCATTATATCTATTTCTCCCTTCCCCAGCTCAGTGTGGTTGTTATTCATTCCAAATACAGTTAGGTTAATTTGGTTTTGTTTGTATTCTATTTTCTCTATCCGCTGCCCCATCCTTGTTCATTTTATTATTATTTTTTTTTAGTATATGAAACTTGAATGAGACTCAGAAGGCCAAACTCCACAAAAAGCTATACCCAGAGAAGTTTGCTCCTCTCTCTTCCCTTCCCATCTTCCTGTCCTTTCTTCCCTGGTGCCTGTGCCCTGTAGGTAACCCAGTGCAGGTGTTTCCGAAGCACCCTTCCGTGTCTCTTCGTGCTTGGCCACTGCAGCCCGCCCAGAGACGGTTCCTTACAGTGAACTCCTGAGTGTGTGTGTCTTAAATACCGAGGCCGTCATGCTCCCTAACTCCTGGCAGTCATCCCGTCAGCGAGGGTTTGATATTTACTCTGAGCCAGGCCCCGGGTGAGATGCAGGGGATGGAAGAGTGAGCCACAGAGCGAAGCACGGTGTTTGGACGCCTCTGTGCGTTCTGAGCCTGACTCGACCCCTTCCCTCGTCTGCTCTTCTCCCTCCTTTGCCCTGCTTCTGCTCTGTTGTTCCCTGCCTGTTTCAAAGGCTGCTGTGTTCTCATTGACTAAGACGTACTTACAGACTGTCAGTCATATATCTAACTTAATAGCATTGCACACTGGCTACACAATTAACGTTGGTTAATGACTACATGTGATGAGAAAGTGAAACCTTTCTCATTAAGTTGTGTTTCCCAGGACACATGTACCTGGTGGAAATGCTGTGAGTGTGAGGGAAAAATCCTAAGTGCAATGAAAGTAAGTTATGTACAAATGCTAAATCTAATCTTTGCAGTATAATTAAGTCTGCTAATCCTTAAGAAAATAATTTTGGTGAAGCATAAATAAGCATAGAAAAATTGGAAATTATTTGTGCGGTATAGAAATGACAATGGATTTTGTACCAGAAAATACAAAATACAGGAAGAAGGGGGAGCAAGAAGCAAGGCTGGAAAGGAGGCCGGAATTTGTCCCCAGTCCCTAGGGCGGTGGGAACCACTGGGCAGTTGTCAGTAGGGGAGTGACATCAAGTTTGCTTGTAAGGTATGTCACTGACTGTGCCGCAGAGAATGGAGTGGGCAAGGGGTGCACCACAGTCACTCCTCTGACTTGTACCGCTGAGGAAGGGACCAGATGAGGTCAAAGAACCGTGGAAGGGAGGGGTAGGGAGAGAGGAGGGAGGGAAGGAAGGAGGGAGGAAGAGAGGAATGGGAGAGGAGAGAGAGAGAGACATCATTTGTAGCCACATGTGATAAGAAAAGGACAAGAACTTGGAGGCCTGTTAGTCCTTAGCGAGGTGACATTTGAGCTGGGCCCTGGAGGGGAAAAGTTAGGGAGGACCGAGAATGGGGGCAGGATGAGGTGAGGGGCGGTCCAGACAGACGAGGTGGCTGACAGAGAAGGAGCACAGGCCCCAAACTCAGTGACTGGAGCTCAGCCCCATGTGGAGAGATGCTGGAGAGGAGTGTGGGCAGGTGTGTGAGAAGACGCTGTTGGAGAACCATTGCAGCGGAGTGAGTGGTCCTGTCTCCCGGACTCCCCTTCCTCCCACGTGGATGGTACTGCAGGGAGGTGGGGGTGGAGTGGGTGGTGGGGTGAAGTGTGTCTTCCTACAATTAGAACTCTTGTACTTTGCTGCTGGGAGTGAGAGAACTTTCCGGGGTGATGAAGTCTCCTATAGCTCCCTGAGGGCATGGGTTACACCAGTGTGAACAGTTGGCAGAACTCATGAAACCTACGCTTAAGATCTGGGCATTTCGCTTTGTGTAAATTATGTATCAAAAAAACTGTTTCTTGCAGTCTGGGAAGGTTGGAAATTACATTACAAATCAGAAGTATTTTCTTACTTTGTCTTCCTTCTTCTTTGTGAATCTTAGCTTAAGTGGTGTTTTGTTTTAAAGCACATTAGCTGGCGTGTCAGGGCACTGTGGCGCAGCCCGCTGACAGTCTAGCCTCCTCTCCCTCTGTCCCCCTCCCTCAGAATGCCCACGTCCTGTTGTCCCCCTAAGCATGCCAGCTCCAGCCTGGGATCTGGCTGATGAGACCTTAAAGGGGCTGCACCTTTTTGTCTTAATGTTTCAAGACATAGTTTGACAAGATCAGCAGCAGTAGGGGCTGTGTGGTGTCGTAGAGATCCTCAGTTTCTTCTGTGTATGGGGGATAGTGGCAGTGCTTTGTAGTGGTCGTCAGAGTTGAATGAGCCAGCTTGGGTAGGACGCCCATCCCTGTGCTCGGCACATTCAGGGGCCGGAAAGCACGGCAGCTGGGGACCTGGTTGTCTCTCCCATGGCTTCTGCAGAGCCAGTGCTGCAGCCAGTGTGGCATGCCTTCCTCTGGTGCAGGCCGCCTGCCGGGCTCTGGCACTCTGTCCTCGCATGTCCCGTGGTGTACCATCTTATGTCTTGTTGAGAGCCGAGTTAGGGAACTCCGCTAAAAGACACTTGACCTCCTGTCATTATTACTGTGTTTTCAGGGAATCAACGTGGAAGCCATGAGTGAGAATAAAATGGTGCCCTCTGATTTTAGCACTGGACCTATGGAAAAAACTTCCAAACCTTTGCCATTTAAGGATCCCAACTTTGTGGTAAGCATCTAAGGTATTTGATTAATTAAAAAATGAACAACCAAACCGTGGCTTGATCATGCTGGGCCTGCAGCCCAGGTGGCACTGGTGCCCCTTTTTCATCCATCAGTGTCAGTTGCCATGTTTCCGTCATGGGCTTTGTGGGAAGGGTGGGAAGACAGGGGAAGAGCCCGTCTTTTAAGTAAATGTGAGCTGTTGCTCTGTGGAGTAGAAACAAGCTATTGTCCTTTCGTTCTCGAGGGGCACGATAAATTACAATGATTCATATTACACCATTAAAAGTTGATTTTTTTTCCTTGATTAGTTTTGAAAATACAGTATTGCCAGTGTCTGCAACAGATTTCGATATTCTTTTCCATTTTATTTTGTCATCCTCAAAGGACAAAAAGAAAAAAAATTCCAGAAGACTTGCCATGCCATGATTGAAGCGTACTTGGGTTTTTCAGGGTCACCAGTAATTTGCAAGGCGGAGACTTGCCCTCAGAAGAGAGCTTGGAGATGTGGTCCTAATGAGTTTCAATCTAACCTTGTAGTAAATTTATTTTAAAGCAATGGGAAATTCATGAGCGAATTCTATAAAGTTAGACCCAATAAAGGATGTGATTTTGTGTGTGTGTGTAAAAAAAAAAACAACAACCTTTTATTTCTACTCCATCACCAACTAACTCATGGATTTTGACAACCCAAAAGCATTGTTTTTTAATAAGTAAAATTAAAGAGTGCAGTATAACACTTTTTAGAAAAGGCTTAGGGGTACAAATGATTGCTTATAGATTGAAGGATATGTTACAGTTATGAACAAGTGTAAATGTCAGATTCTGAAACAGCACTTTCCTTTGATTTTGTTTCTTCCTATCCATGCTTCTGATTCGAGCACTCTGGCCATGGTGGTGCAGTAGCTGGCAAGAAGAATAGAACCTGGAAGAACCTGAAACAAATTCTCGCCTCTGAAAGGGCATTGCCGTGGCAACTGAATGATCCTAACTGTGAGCTGTTTAGTGTCTTCTTTGGGTTTATAATGTTTAGACGGGGGACTTTCTTACCACAAACCTAAATCATTGTGTTCGCTAAATTAAAGTAGGGTATAATTTTTAGCTTAGGAACCTTATCGTGGCATCAAAACGGGGAGATTATATGTATATTTCCTCATAACTGTATCTGTATTGAATCTGTGTTGTCATGGATGTGTGTTTTTTAGTGTCACTGTTAATGTCAATCTGGAGAAATAAGTCCTGATATAATAACATTGGTGTTTCTGACTGACATACTTCTATTCAGAAGTCTACTCTTAAAAAACCTTGTTTCCAAGAACGAGGTTGCCCCAGATTTAGGAGGTTTGCTAACAACCAGCGTAAAGCAGGCTCTGTTTTACTCTCTGAGCCGATGTTTTTCAGAGTAAATGCTTTCTGCTGCAGTGTTTCCAAACCTCTAAAGCACCGTTACATGTTTGTAGAGCTTCACTGGAAAGTACAGGTAAGTTTCCTTCAGCTCTGGTCCCTCTGCACATCCTTCATGGAGGTGACTCAGATAGATGACAAGTGAACTAGTCAGTTGTCAGGGTGTGGCCATTCCAGTATCCAGATGCTGAGATCCAAGCAGTAGGTTGTTTGGCGTCTCATCGCGTCAGCCCACGGAGCCTGAGACGGCGAAAACAGCCTGTGGGCAGACGCGCTTTCCGGCGGTTCTGCTGGAGTTGAGGGTCCCTGGGGACAGGGCGAAGGCAGGCAGGGCCTGCCCCTGGCCTGTGGCATTATTTCCCCGAGAGAGTTCTGTGAGTACTTCATCACAGAGAAAAATTGTAGAAACATTATCAAATAATATTTTTATATATTTTTATTGTTCAAACAGTATTTTAGATGAAAAGGGAAGGCATCTGAATGTTTTAAAGCCAGTTTTGCTATCTTCTTTTTTTTTCCTTTTTTTTTTTCAGACTTTAGTATTGATGCTCCTCCATCCTTCAAACCAGCTAAGAAGTATTCTGATGTTTCAGGTCTTCTTGTGAGTATAATTCCATCTCTATGTCTTTTAAAATGGAATTGGAAGGAAGATTTCACAGTACTATCTACTTAGACAGTGTTGGGTGTTGACTACCACCTGCCCGGCCTGGAGCCTGTATCCTTTGCAGAGGTCATGGCTTGTGCTGAAGTGTCCCATGTTCGTTTTAGAGTGGCCGCACCTGGGCAGCCTGCAGAGAGCATTGCTCCAGGAAGGAGGAGACCCGAGTTCCACTTCCCCTTCCTGTGCTCATGTGAAAAATGTTTCAGATATATCATGTTAACTACATGAAAAAAATCTATTATTTTTTTACTGCTCCAGTTTTAACAAACTTCTACATTTTAGAGATGATTGTACTCTTTAAAAAATACTTAAACTTTCCTTGGCTGGTGTGGCTCGGTGGATTGTGTGCCAGCCTGAGAACCAAAAGACCACCTGTTTGATTCCCATTCAGGGCACATGCCTCGGTTGCAGGCCAGGTCCCCAGGAAGGAGTGTGCGAGAGGCAACCACACATTGATATTCCTCTCCCTCTTTCTCCCTCCCTTCCCCTCTGTCTAAAAATAAAATAAATAAAGTCTTTAAAAAGTAAAAAAAAAAAAAACAAAACCCTTAAACTTCTCTAAAGAGGCACTATAGTAAACGTAGTGGTTTTCAAACACTTTTAAACACCAGAACCTCTTTCCAAATGAAGTCTTTTACAGACTCCCCTGGAGCCCGCCCACCCACCCACTGTGGTCCTGTGTGGGTCTGGTCCTCTGTCCTCCCCACTGCCCTTACCACAGTGACCTCTAAAGTGCTTCTGGGGAACCCAGGTTGAAAACCAGCAGCGTATTTGGACGAATGGGGCTCGGGCAAGTCGCTGAACCTCAGGAACCTCGGGGAGCCTCATTTCCTTCTTTCAGAGTGTAGATGAAAGGTGGAACTTTCGGCTCACCTCTTCATCCTTTTCATCACTGTTCAGTTTGGAAGAGGTGCTTTTTTTCATAACTGTAGAAATGAGTCACCTCACTTTTAGAAATTCATCCACATCATTTAAATACTTTACGTTTTTATGAAAGCGTATGACTCCAACATCTGTAACAAACTGACTAAATGATACATATTTACAGTGGGAAGGATTTGAGTTTTTATTGTAATTTTGAAAATAACGTTAGTTATACTCTGAATTAGTCATGTATTTTAGCTTTTCCTCCAGAGAGCCACACACTCCTCAGTGTAGTATAACTTTTAAACAGAGATCCTTAAATACAGTGACCCTAAAAAATGGTAGAGTAGAAGTGCTGTACAATGGCGTGTGTGTAAGTGTGCGTGCGCATGCGTGTACATGTGTGTGGTGGGTCCTTTATGCATCTGTCCACAGCACGTATCTCCTCCTAGGGGTCCCCTGATGGGATTCACCTTGAGAGAAATGGTGTAGCCTCCTGCTGTCTCATGTCCACTGCCTGAAAATAGTTGCCTCATACATTTGACCCTTTTTAATAGTTTGTGGCAGGAGGGCTGGCTTGGCACCAGTTCTTCTGTTTTGGCCCCAGGTGGAAATTTCTCCCTGTGTCATTTTCTGCCAAGCTGGCAGAAGCCATGGTTTATGGCCAGACTTGAGAGTGGTCGCTTAGCACGTGGCTTTATCCTCACTGCTGTCAGGCAGCTCATCTGCTAGTGCAGTGGCTTTCACACATTAGGAGGCTGGAGAAGCACTGAGAGAAGCCTTGTTCCAGGCTCCCTTATGCCATTGGCAAAGGACGTGTCATGTTATATGAAACCTAAAACTTCTTGCCCCGCTGCATGCAAGTGGGACAAGATTTAAGAAATTCTGAATTTACAAAGAACTCCAGATCATTTAAAGGTAAACCCATAGAATTGGCTGAAAGGATATAAATAGACAATTACAAGGAGGAGGTACACATGATCAATAAGGAGATGTTCAAGGTCACTGATAATTAGGAAAAAGACTCATCAAGTGGGAAAGAAATGAAGACATTTGATTATATACATTGTCACCAACACGGAGAGATGGATATCCTTGTATGTTGCTGTTTTGAGCCAGTGTTTGCCGTCCAGACAGCTCCCTGGGGAGCAGTGCGCTCAAGGAGCCCCGTGCAGAAATGCTTATGAGAAAACGTATTAGCAAAATATTGGGGACAACATAAAGGTCAATCTCTGAGGCAGCAGGTGTTTTCATACTATTCTGTGAGCTCGATGTATATGTAACCACCTGAATTAACTTCCAAGATATGTTGTGTACTGAAAGGTGCAAAGGAGTTCATGCAGCATGGTGCCACCTGAGTAAAAATCAGCACGTACTTATGAAAAAATACAGGTTAATTTCTCTGGTGTGTTTATATGTGTGTGTAAGGATACACACACACACACACACACACGGCCTGGGAGGGTGCCCACCTAGCAGTGGTTTCCTCGGGGGAAGGCAGAGGAGGTTGGATGGTAGGTGGCGATAGAAAGGGACTTTAGCTATATTCATAATATTTTCTTCTTCAGAGGAAAATATGTTCATCTGTTACGTGTATAAATTAAAGCCGCATAATTAAAAGTAAAGCCCAGCTCATGTTTATACTGAGCCACCTTTTCCCAGCCAGCCAAGTGCCGACTGTTTGTCCTGGCTATGGGTGTGGCAGGGAGGCATGAGGGCCACATTTGTGGTTAGTCCTCGTGTCAAAGCCAGGGCTCTGGCTGTACTGTGGCTCTGGGAGAGACGGGGAGCAGTGAACTCTGCCTCGCACCCTCCGGGGAGGAGGGCCTGAGGAGGGTCCAGCTGTTTGCGGCCTGCCCTCTGGGGGGTGGCCTTGTTTTCCTTCCGGCTCCAGGGATGGAATCCGGAGGAGGGTCCAGCTGTAGGAATGCAGTTCTTCGCTGGTCCAGCCCTGCCGTGTCTCTTGCATCCTCCCCTCTGTTCAGAACACCGGGTCAGGTCTGGCCTGTGCAAGTTCTTCTTGGTGACCTCTTTGTTAGTGCCACAGTATCTGTGTGTTCCACGTTATTTATTCAGCAGCCTTCTCGGCAGTGAGGTCTGAACTTGGGCGGGCTGGCTCAGCTCAGTTTGGTGGTAGGAGTCAGGCAGCCACAGGAATGGAGCCAGGCCAGGCTGGTGCACAGAGGGAGGCCGATGATCAAAGCCAGATGCGCATGCCTGCGCCCTGCTCGGAACCGCGGGGCAGCCTCCCCTGCCCGTCAGTCCGGCTGACCGCCTCCAGGCCAGGAGCCTCGGGAGGCACTTCTGCTGTTTCCTATTTAAGCCTTCCTTATATTACTATCGTGGGTTACAGAAAAGCAATATCTAGATCAAACCAAAGGATCAAAGTTTTATTTCTGACGGAGCTTTAATTAATCTTAACTTTTTAGAAATAATCTCATTTCCTGACGGGAAGCCATTAAATACCTAAGGAGATCCCCAGTGGCAGAACCGAAGACGTTTAGCTTATGAGAAACCTATGACTCAGTTCCCTTCAGCCTGCAGCGCCTTCAGCCCCTCCCTGATTAAATCACAGCATTGCTGCGGCTCGGTCGCAGAGATGAGCACCTCGGAGCAAACGATCTGAACTTGAGTAATTGGATGTTATCTGTCTAGACTTTAATGGCATCTCTTGTAACTTTTCTCAAGAGCTCCAAATGACTCACTCTCACATCTTTGTTTCAAAATCTGTAGAAGCCGTGTGCCTGCCTCGAGGTGCACAGCGAGGGACTTAGGTCCCCCTCTCTCTCTGCATGTGGGAAAAACAGACCAAAAGAGAATTTTGGTCTGTCAATGAGAAACGAGTTCTCTTTTCTCTGATGGTCTAATTGTCCATTTGTTGGTTCATTCATTTATCATTTGCTGTACAAACGCTGACTGAAGGCCTACTGTGTGCTCTGTGTTGCACTAGGAGCCAGAATTCAGTAATAAGCACACCACAGGGTTCCTGCCTCAGGGAGCCTTAGAGTGTAGTAGATCGTAGTCAAAGAGTCAAGGTGACAATAAACTTAAAAGCAGCGGAGATGAGCATATGCCGCAGGAGACACGTGTGCTGAGGTGAAAGTGGGGTACTGACACCCTGGTCCTGGTGGGGAGCAGATAAGGCTTCCCTGATGATCAGCCTTCGGGGCAGAGTGTTGCAGGATGAACAGGTGGTTACTGAGCACGGTGGGCCGGGGTGGGGACCCCTTCCAAGGAAAGGGCAAATGGGGCATGACAGGAGGCGGGGGACTCAGAGCCTTGGAACGAACAAGTGAGGACACGTGGCTGAGGAAGAGCTGGCAGGACTGAGGAGCCATGCCGAGGCCTTGAGCCTTTGTCCTGAGAACAGAAAAGAGCCATTGAGAGGATTCACGAAGAAGGACATGACCAGAATTGCAAGTTGCAAAGATGACTGGCTGCAGCAGTAGGATGCTGTCCGTCCAGCGGCAGAGTGGGCGTGGGTGGCCGATCCAGCACCGCGGTGGAGCCCAGGGCGCCTGGAAGCGACACAGGGAGCGGGCGGACGAGTGGGAGGGGAGGGCTCTGGGAGTAGGTGGAGGGCAGCAGGGAAGGGCGGGCGTGCCGCACCGTGGAGGTGCTGCGCCCTGCTCTGGGGACAGATCTGGAACATTTGTTTGAAGCAGGTGGGAGTTTGAAGGCAGGGATGAGTACCATGAATTCAGTGTTGGACCTGCCGCTTGTAGCCCTTACGGCACGAACCAGAAGAGTCCTAGTGTCTGATGTGGTTATTCCTTTTCCTCCCACTGAAGCATTGCTCTAGTCTGGGAGGATTAACGCCTCTTCACCAAAGTGAGCAATTTGGTACTCTTGGTCTCAGAGTAAAGACATATATTTCACTTTCAGGAAAAAATTTAAAAAGTTAAACTTGAATTTAAACTATTTGCTACCACCACCTCCAGCTGTGCCCTCCTCTGTGTCTGTTTCCCACCCAGGCCAACTACACTGATCCACAGAGCAAGTTACGCTTCAGCAGCATCGAAGAGTTTTCCTACATCCGGAGGCTGCCGTCTGATGTTGTCACTGGCTACCTGGCCCTGAGAAAGGCCACAAGCATCGTTCCCTGAGGCTTGGGAAGAGGAGGTGAAGTGGAAAACGATTTCAAAGGCAGGCTTTGGACTCATAATTTTGTTTCATGGAAACATACTCATTCTGCTGTCAATCTGGAAATGTCAGTGCTGTGCCTTGGAAAGAATGCTTGGCTTTCATTGAAGGTTTTTTTTTCTGTGTTTTTCCTCCAAGTGTGATATTTCCTGTTGAGTTAAATTATATTTCATTTGTTGCATCAAGTAAAATCATTTTACAAGAAAATATAAAATTGTGCTTTTAATTTAACCCAAGTGCATCCCCAAATTTTTGCTTCATAGTTCTAAACTCTCTTACAACACATTTAAAGACTCTATAATAACTCTTGACAACAGAACTGGATTATTCCTGATCCCAGTGACTCCCTCTTTAGAATGCATTAGTCTTTCTCTTTGATCAGAATATTTGGAGGAGGTCCGAAATTAGAACCGGGGAAGGAAGGGCTGAGTAACTCTCCGTCACACTAGGCCTGTGCCTCAGCCTCCAAATCAGCCCCTCTTCCAGCCAACGCAACCGAGAGAGACATACAAGGGGGGACTTAAAGTAAAAACAAACAAACAAAAACCCAAACCAAAATTATCTTCTGGAGGGAAGGCCCCTTGTAATAAGTACAGGCTTCCTTCACTGGATGAGTGTCCTAGGAACCCATCTGTACCAGCTGGTGTTGTTGTGAGAGGCTGTGTTTGGCTTCAGTGTTGTTTTTTTTAAGATTAGCTCATTTGTTCATTTCGTGATGGGTGATTTACAAGTACACCTGCCCACACTGCACTGAGTGTTCAGCAGTTTTTGATGAGAAACAACAAGCCCCCCATTCCCCACCCTCCCTATTTACCTGATCTCACCCCAAATGACTTCCTTTCCTGAATGAAGAAAGTCCTCAAAGGGAAACATATTATCCATGTTGAAAAGGTGAAACAAAAATGGCAGCGGCACTAAAAGGTATTAAAATCAATGAGTTCAAAAATGGTTCTGAGCAGTGGAAAAAAGTCTCATTAGCTGTATTGCATTAAATGGAGAGTACTTTGAGGGTGACTGAAGTTTGAACACGTAAGAATAAATACACATTTTTAAAATAAATCTAGGGGAAGTTTACTCCCCCCCCCCCCGCCCTTGTATGTCTTTATTCAAGCCACCAGTTTGTGGCATTTCCCTGTGGCAGCCCAAAGCTGACTGAAACCCGATTCTGGAGCTGTGGGTTCGAACATTATCCATTAACTCCCCTTCTAAGAAGGGCTTTTTGGCCTTGGCCGGGGGTGCAGCCCCTTCGGCTGAGCCTGCTACAGACAGGGAAGCGCTCCTGGGCCAGGAGAAGCGGAGCGAGGAGCTGGGCCCTGAGCCTCTAGGGAGCACCTGGAACCAGACCTTGGGGCTTCTGGGCCAGAGTTGCCTCGACTTTGGCTGGCTTAGGCACTCGGTGCCGTTTATGTCTGAGGAAAAGCACCCCCTCCACCCACACCCCTCTCAGCCTTAGAGAAAAGAAAAACAAAGCTGATAGTCAGCTGGGAGTGCAGCCAGCGGGACAGGTGGCAGCTGCCGGAACCTGGCTTCCTTTTTCCTCCGGCCCAAGCAGCCTGTCATTCAGCACCTTGAGAGCAAGGGCGGAAGGGCTGCTGTGTGACTACTCCCTTCCCCCATGAAAAGGAAATGAGAGGTGGGGAACCTTCCCCAAGTCCGTGAGCACTGAAGCATCTGAGCCTGGTGCAGAGCTCTCAAACCTGGACGACAGAATCACCCTCCCCTGAGGCCTTGTTGTAACACAGATTGTGCTCCCCGACCCCACAGAGAGCCTGATCCAGCAGGTATGGTGTGGGCTAGGAATCTGCATTTTGAACAAGTGATGCTAATGTTGCTGGTCCAGGGACCTCACATTGAAACCCACTGCAGAAACTGAAGCTCAGAAAAGCCAGAGGCTGCTTCTTGGGTTCCTCTGACTCCTGCGTTTCCGGACCCCAGTCAGGCTAGGAATCCCCCCACCCCCAGCCCCCATGTCCCTTATGGTGAAACTGGGAGTAAGGGAGCCAAGGGTTCTTCCTGCTTCGCTTCCGCCTTCTATTATACGATGAAAACTTGGGCAGGTGCACTTTTTTCCCCACAAAGCCCCCCCGCAACAATTGGATAGCACCCCACTAACACTACCGTAACACTGACCACTCCACTGGCTGCTACCTCAGACCTGCCTATTCAGAGTCTGCTGGGCCAGGCAGAGTCCAGGATGAAGGAGAGGACCTGCCCTGCAGGTGTCCACTGTGGGGGCCCACAGACGGTTGCCCCTGCAGGCCTTGCAGGGCTTGGGGGGGGGGAGGGTTGTGCCATGAACCCTTTGACAGAGTCACCCGAGGCCCATGAAAATGCAGATTCCTAGGCCACGAGCTCTGGACCTGTTCACCGCAGGGAGTGAGGCCCTGGCCTCTGCATTTAACAAACATTCCAGCTGGAATGTGACGCACGGGAGTGTGAGAAGCACTGTCCTCCGCAGGCAGAGGGGAAACACGTGTGCCGGACACCTGGCCCCCCCCTTTCCTGTCCCCCTGCCCCGTGTCCTTGCCAGCCTCTTTTTGCCAGAGAGCCGAGTTCCAAAGGTCAGGTCGTTTCTCTCACCCCAAGCAACAGGCGGCCGAGCTGAGCCAAACTAAGCTTCAAGCCGTGAACAGTTCCAACAATGCACTCTCCTACAGGTTTCGGAATGGGCGGGTAGTTTTGTAGGCCTTTGCTGTCCATGCAAGTGGTTCTCAGCCCCGGCTGCTCATTAGTGTCACCTGTGTTGGGGGGCAGGCGGAGGAGGTACAGAAATACCCGGGGATTCTGATTCAGCTCGCCTGAGCTGGGGCCCGGGCATAGTGTTGTTTCAACTCCCCAGGTGGTTCTCACGTGCAGCCCTCGCTGTAACGGCAAAGACAGTATCGTGCACGGGGCACGTTTTCCCCATGGATCAGCTGGCTATTGCCATCCCAGGGCCGTGGGCAATTTGGAAAAGGGCTCTGTGTGTGCACATGTGCGTGTGTGTGTATTTAGAACCCCTTTCCACACAGCCTCCCCAGAACTGGAGTTGTAACAAGCATGTCATGGAAGACTCCTCCCCCTCCCATCCCCACCACCCCCTGCATGCACACATCAACCAGTCCCCAGGTTCCCTCTTTGCTCACGTCCCTCCTCTATCTGCCCTCCTCCTACTCCATGTCAGCAGCACACCACTTCCTGCCTGGACATTTCAGTAACCTCCTAGCTGCTCTGTCTGACGGTCTGAGCCCCACCCCTCCATGCTCCCCTCTGCCATCAGAGAGGCTTTCCCCAGTTTTGGATGAAAACTTGACTTTGCCCATCATGACATGCCCACTGGTGATTTGTCTCAGAGACCTTGTTATTTCTAGCATTGGCCCATAGGATACAAAGGACAAACTCAGCCTCATAAAAAAGAAAACAATTAGCTGAGAAATCAGATTGTTTCTTTGTTAAGACCAAACTGAGGTCCTATTACCTGAAGAGTGGAGCTGGACTCTTTCCCAATATCTGATACTTGTCCTCAGTTCAAGAGGAGAACAGGGCATGGCTTAGAACCACCTGTGAGGCTGGACAAGGGCTCTCTCGAGCTGGGAGCAGGCCATGTGGGTGAGGAGGACGCATTTGGCCCCCATCTCCCAAGTTAAAGCTTGTTTCCACCTGGATTTAAAATACATTTTGTAACTGGGCCAAAAGCGTTTCCAATGAGAAATCTCTTGGTTCTGAATCCCTAGCCACTAGAAAGAGACATTAGGCACTCAATGCTGTTTCCAGTGACCTAGAACAGCGAGTCTGGAGTGCCTAACTTAGTAGAAATAAAGGGCGAGGAAAGAAACTAATGGGGTATGAAGTAAAGAAACCTGGCTAAACAGGGCAGAGCAAATAGGACAGATGCCTTGGGAAGAGATCGAAAATGATGTCCTCTCACAAATGCCTGAAGTGATTCTTGTTATTTAAAATAATGTTCTCTCTGACAGGACTGTGTGGGCCCTGTTTGGATTCTGATTTTAAAAAAAAAACTTAAAAAACATTTTTGAGACAATTGGAAATTTGATATTGGATGATACGGAGGAACTCCTATGAATACTTTTAGTTGTGATAATGGTCTTGTAATGTTAAAAGAGATTCATATCTTTTAGAGGCACATACTGAAATATTTATGGATGGAATGATATGCTATCTGGGATTTGCTTCAGGATAATGTGAGAGAGGAAGTGGATGGGCGTAGTGTCGAAATGCATTGGCTGTGAGTCAATAATTATTGAAACAGAGTGATGGGCACATAGAGGTTCATTATACTTTCTTTCATATGTTTGAATTTCTCCATGACAAAAGGTTTAAAAAAGCATATGATGTTTTTGTTACTAAAAGTCGTGGTGAATTTTTGCCTAAAATTGGTGGCCCGCATTAGCTTACAGTGGCTTGTAGATGCTGAAAGTTTGAAAAATGTTGCCTGAGTGTTTTGAGGTCTTAACCAGAGAGAATGCCTAGTTTCTAGAGCATTTCACAAAGACTAGGTTGGAAGAAAAGAACTGCAAAGCAGGCGAAGTTGTCCTCTAGATGTTTTTAGTAGAGGCTTTCATTGCACGTTCTGTTGGCTGTATTTCCCGTGTAGACCTTGGCATGGGAGTGGAGAGACGCAAGACATCAGCTTTGCATTTCTCCCGTATTACAATGGGAGAATTACATTGTATTATATGGGTTACGATGGGTTTGGGATACATTGGAATGGCTCCCTATAATTTGAGAAAATACCTGTTGATCTACTTCCTGGTAGAATTTGCAATATTTATGCATCTACACAGAGAAAGAACTTAAATCATCAAAGAACTTAGCACATGGACAAACTTTTAGTTCAAGCAATTGTTTTCATTGAATTTCGACTGTTTGTTCTTCTGTGCCTACATTAAGGGGCTGCAGTGAAAGAGGCGGCACAGCCCTACGACAATTCCAGTTGCACCTGTTGCTGAAACTCCTCCACAGCGTCCCCCACTGCCCACCAGGACGAGTTTCCCAGTTTGGCACAGAGACATGGAGCCTGACAGCCTGGGTTTGAATCTCCTTTCTGCAACTGACTGTGTAGTTTTGAAAAAATTACTAACTTGCTCTCAAATTCTCAGATTCCTTAGTTTAACTCAATCCCTGGCCCACGTGCCCAGCAAGTGAGAACTGTGGTGATCGATCACTCACCTTCCTCGGGTCTCCTTTCCTGACTCACCAGTAAATGTGCACCTTCTGCCTGATTAGCTTTTCTCTTACGGCTCCTGGGGCTCTTGGGCCACATTTGCAGCCCACCTGTACAAACTAAGCGACATGTGGTCGACATTCCTGTGTGCTCCTCTCATGGCTGGCTCTATCATCTTCATTGCCTATCTTGGTCATTTGTTCCATTTTCCATTCTGTGTATTTTTCTAAGCTGGCTCAGTGTTTTCATGGAGCAAGGGGAGGCGTGAATAACCAGCTAAATAAAGTAGTGATCTGTGACTGAGGCCAAGGGAAGAAAGGAGTCATGGGGCGGAGAGTAGAGGACGCTGAAGAATGAATAAAGTTCAGACTAAGAGGGAGAGGAGGGGCTGATGGAAACCACCCACGTGGCCTCTTCAAAATCATTATTGCTTTATGCCTTCCTTAGTATTCATCATGTCTGCTACTGTTGTTTTCCTGCAAAAATGGGCCACAAAACCATTAAAAACAAAAAGGGGGCAAGTTGTCTATTTGTTTTGGTGGCAGGGTTGGGTGTGGAAATGGGGCACTTTCTTCCCACTGCAAACACAGAACCGCTGGGTTCATCCTGGTTTTCTTCCATGGCTCAGTGGCCTCTGTGCACGGGCGCTTCTCTCCCAGCTGCAGACAAAGCCTTCGCTGGGAAGGGGCCCCGTTTTCCTGGCCAACAGGATGCTGACTGCTGACAAGTGCGCAGTGTGCACCTAACAGGCCACTCTCCTCTACTCAGGGTCAGGAAGATGAGTCACCTCCACCAGCCTGGGTGACTCGGATCCTCCTTGAATCTTTCCAGCGGGAATGCAGAAGGGCACGGCCTGGGGTTGTGCAATGTGGAATAACGCAGAGCTTTTTTCAGGGGTCTGAGGCCTTGGTGACTGATCTCT